TTCTTTGCAGGCTACGACAATAATGGTAAAAGGACGACGGAAGGATTGATCAACATATTCTTCAAGATTGTACCCTATTAGAAGGGCAATCCATTGAGAATGCCAAAACATAAGTTTGTGGGTGACAGTTACACAAGTGCTTGAGCTGTTGTGTTAATGGAGATAAGGATGTTACTGGTTTCTAGATTGTTTTGGTGGGCAAGAGGTAACGAAAGGGTTGTTTCTAACAAAGGAGGAGGACCTAGGATCGGCCGCCAACGGTGAACTCACTTGAGTATTTTCAAAGCTCTGATATAATTTTGTTTTACACTGATATTTGTTTCCTTTGCAAGTGTGAAAATTTATACAAGACTAAGTGGCCTAACAAATAGATAATTGCAGAAAAGGAAAGTTAGTGGTTACATAAATTAAGGCCTAAACGCGAGGAAAGTCGTACAAAATGATTTCAAGCTCTGATATCATTTAATGTTTTACACTGAGGATTTGAAAACGCTCATTCGTTTCCTTCACAAGTGTGAAAATTTATACAAGACTAAGTGGCCTAACGAATACATAATTGCAGAAAAGGAAAGTTAGTGGTTACAGATATTACGGCATAAACACGAGGAAAGTCGTACAAAATTTACAATAAATAGAATATATAAAATAAGGATGGAATCTCAGTCCATCAGCCAGTAGTATCTCTAACAAGTGTGTGATTAAACTATGTCAAAGAATCCCCTAGTAAGATTCTAATTTTAAAAAAATGATATGAGAACACATTGACAAAACATACTCGAAGATTGTTTCGCAGATGTTAGAGTTGTTTGGATGTGAGAAGCAAGAGAATGAGCTAATGTATGATGACGCATTTAAAAGAGATCAGGAAATGCACTTACACTGCTGAAACTTTTCCTGGATTATTATCCTTGAAGTCAACAAGCTGTGCAAATAAGTAAGCTTCAGCCAGAGAGAAAAGGGTATCGATCAGAGCATATTCAGGTTCATCGAATGCATCACGTATCAAGGTACTTCCATACGCAGCAACACTCTCTTCCTTTGAGATCTCTCTAAATCCATGATAAGCCACCTTCACATACTTGTGACGATCCAACTGTGCATAGTACAATAAAAATGGACAAATTTTATGCATACATAAATACAAGAGAAATAGAATAATAAATAGCACAAAGATTTTATCAAGATTTAAATATACGTTGATGACAGAACTGATTCATTCCCAATAGAGAAATACAAACCTTTAATATTGCCTCTTTTTTTATCTTTTTTTGATAAGTAATATTGCCTCTTTTTTTATCAAGAACTAATCCTCTGACCATGTACTTCCAATCAAACAACCATTGCAGCAACTACACAAAGCCAGTCAAGGTAAAAATTAAAAAAATGAAAATTAATCTTAGGACTCAAATGCAAAAAAACACGAGTTGCCTCCAACTATCTTCATTGCAATGCATGAGCTTCTTTTTCGTTTTCTCAGGTTCAGGCATAGGGATAGGTAATTCAATGTCTAGAAAAAGGCACCTAAAACGAATAGCTTCAGCTACAGACTTAATCAATTGATAATTAATATTAGATCAAACTCTCATTATGGAAATTAAGGGCTTTTCATTTCAACCTTTCTCTTCTGGGTATTGTGCAGGATCAAAAAATTTCAACAAACCTCTCTAGGGTATCCAAAGTCATGAACTAGCTTCTTTATTGTGCCTTCATAAGCTTGCGATTCGAAGGTCTCCGATTTATATTGTGCCAAAGTGTAATTTATATCAAACCCAATGGCACTGCAACCAGTCTTCTCAACTTGCAATGTTTTGCCATCTACACCCATGGCATCGATCAAATTACTGGCATGAAGTTGATAATTGCCTGATTCTGTTTGACAACAAGAAAGTAAATAGTAATAAAGAATAGTGTTAAACATATGCCACACAGGTATAATGCACATAATCAAGCATGTTTAGGTTGGCTTATAAGCTTAGTGATAAGGAGAGAGAAAACAAGTATCAATATTTTTTCTCTGTCCTTATAAGTAATTTTAAAAACCCAAGCTCCAACAAATTAAAAGAAATCCACCCAGAAAACTGAGTTTGTATAATGCACTTAATCAAGCATGTATGGGTTGGTTTCTAAGTTTATGACAAGGAGAGAGAAAAGTACGCGTCTCAATATTTTTCTCTGTCCTTATAAGTAATTTTATAAACCAACCTCCACCCAGAAAACTGAAAATTGTAGTGGTAATCCACTAGAGATTTATTAGAAAGACAGCAGCAGATTGTGTCAATTGTCAATGCTCCACTATACTGATTACTCAAGCCTTTGCTTATATGACAAATTTCTAGGCTAGTGTTAGTTGATACCAAGCATAAAAATATCCAGTTCTTTATGCAGACTAGACATTCTTAGTCATACTAACAACTAGAGTTTACTGGGGACATTAGCAAAATCTTGTATTAGTAAGTGAATTTGAGTAATAAATTACACTAAATTGATAGGTAGCTCTGGACTGATAACCCCTGTAATCCCCTTACAGCAAACTTCATACAGGTAAATCAATTTTTTGGCAAGTGACACCTCTAAGTGTTCAGAATAATAGCAGCCCAGAGTTGCCCAAAATTTTATGTTACAAGATAAGGCAAAAACAAGTACAACGAAAATGTTTAAGGCACCAAAAGAAGGAAAGAAGGGACTCCTTCCAGCCACTGAAACATCAGTATCTTACCTGCAGTAATCATTGTATGGGAATCCACCGTCTCCATAATAACTTCCAACTTCTGAGCCTATATTCCAAGATATGCTCCAAGGGAAACCTATATTTCACCAAAGTTAATGCCACTCGTATCAACAAAATCCACTTGTACCCATGTATTTTATCCCCCAAAAGCATTATGACTCCGAACCAAGATATCACGTCCTCAAAGTCATAAACACCTACTCACCCAAAACTACACAACATAAAACACTATAGAACCACTCAAATTAAATCTAGTGACATGGAAAGTAAAGTAGGGGAACAATACTCTGAACTGTAACTAGAAATAATGCGACAGGAACTGAAGTACAAAAGTGAAAAATGTTGAAAGCAAGCGTGACAATTTAAAAACTTCATTCAAAGGCAGATTTTGAATTGCACCTATCCTTGTTTTATAGTTCTTCACTAGCAGTTTTTTCCGCTCCAAACAATTTCACGAATTTAAATTACCAACAGTGACTTTTAGTACTAGTGAAAAATAAATAAATAATCAGCTGAGACTTCATCTTAGCATGAAAAGTCAGACAAAGACAATAAATTAAACATAAAAGCCAAAGATTTAACTTGAGAAACAACTGTGCATGTTTTATGTTTAAGACCAATCAAGTCACAAGAAATGCAAAGACGTATTTATTTAAAACAAAAAATTTAAAAGAAAAATCTATTTTTTTTTCTCGCCCAAAAATCAGATTCAGAACATTCAAAATAAAAGGAAAATCTTCCACTTCACCAGCAATAAAACCCATAAGCTAAATTCTTCACCAGTACACAATGCAAAAAACAAAAAGAAAGAAAGAGCAATCATACTCCAAATTAAAACAGCGTAGCTATCAAAAAAAACAAAAAATTAAACCAGCCTAAGCACAAACCTTTGAGGTGATTTATAAGGAAAATAATCGGATAGAAATGGAAAAAAGGGCTTGGAGATATGGGTTGGATAGTAAAAGGAATAGAAGCAATGAGGAAAGGAACGGCCCTTGGGAATAAGCATCTTCAGTTTAAATACACGTTTTGGAAGGCTAAGCATCAGCAACACTCCGCGGAATAACGACGATTTCAATTACAGGTGGTGGTATTCGATGCCCACAGTAACTGTGTAAGAAATAAGAATGCAACGGAAACCACTTGCACGTGTTGCTCATGCTGCAAGGAGCCATTAAAGGCTTCACCCACAAGCCTTGTTGCTTTCCGCGGTGGTTGAAATTTTAGTTCTCCTTTACCCAACGATTTGTATTTCTCTGCGAAAGTATGGAGACATTTAAATGCACATAAAGGAAAAGGATTCAAATTCTTCCTACGTCATCAGGACTAGGGAGCTGGTAAATGGGCTTCGACACGTGGAGGCAGTTGGCGGAGAATGGTGGTGGCGGCGGCGGGTAAAATGTGAACACTAGAATATTGTTTTCCTTTTTACTACATTTTCCCTCTTTTTACTGCCGTTTTTCCTCTGCTTCTGTAAAATTTGCGTAGTATTATATTGCAGAGAAAAACTGCAACTAGGTGGGACTAGAAGAGCGAGGAGGAAGCTAGGTGGGACTTCAGTCTTCATGCATTTTTTTCACGCCTTTGACTTTTCTATAATTATTTATTTTCAGTTTAGGTTAAACAAAATGGGAAAAATCATAAATTAGGTATATAATTTACACCAATTTACACGTCTATAGTTTGAAAATTCAAAATTCAGTTATATATATTATTAATTAAATATAATAAAGTCACAATTATACAATTAATGGTCACATATACAAAATTATAAGTCACAATTTATTTATTG